ACCGGTTCCAGAAAAATACTTCGTTATAAGCCATCTTCGTTAAAGTGAGAGTTCGTTAAAGTGAATGTCACTGTGTAGTTGTAAAAAATTTAGTAAACCAAATGAAAAGACGTTGCAGGGAGCGTAATGGTGAACAAATTTCTTGCTATTTTTTATAAATAAAATCTGTACATTTTGCAAGTTTTAAATGAGGTATTTTGAGTCTCAATTCAATTGTTGGTTGTAAAGTTATTGTAATTTTACCGAGGCAACAAAAAAAAAATTAACAAATTTTTTCGTCTACAATTCATAAGAAGTGAACAAATTGATTTAGTTTAACAATAATATGTTAATATGGTGTTTTAATTATAAATAAACTTTAACACGAGTATCGTATATAATATTACAGATGACGTCATTATTCCCCAACTCCACGTATATCAACGAAATTGGCCGGTCTCGGAGGTTGATATTAGAGAGGGTCGACTGTATTATAAGTGGTTAGGTAATACGTAAGTTGATATTATTGTCAAGATTTTAACAAAATGGGATAATGTTATGAGAAGTAGCCAATATCAAACCTGTATTGTTATATTAATTTTCTAACTTACAAACACTCTACCAGTAATTTATCGCTATAATGATTTCAGGCGTAATTCTAATCATAAGATTCCCCGTCAATAACCAACACAATAACAGGGTCTAAATTTATTAAATCCCTTTGTAATTAGTTGATAAACTATGCTTATTGTGACTGGTCGATGGATTAAAATTATTCATTCGTCTACACTTTGTCTCGCGCACTCTAGTTCACTCGTTCTTGTGATATACTACTTTAAAAAAAATCAAGGTTTTTGTCTTGATGAGAAAATTCCTTTTCGAAAACTATACGTTTCAGAACCGTAGGTATGTTATTATGTAGTGCTCAAAAGAAGCTTTCAGACAAGCCAAAAAATTTTGGACATTAATGTAGAGGATGTGGTAGAAAATGGTATTAAAGATTTTCTGTAGTGATTGCTTTATCAAAAGTGCTGTTTTTTTTCTCTCTCGTTCAACTTTTTGACATTAACGTATTGACAGTTTAGCTTGAACACGTTCTGTAATCCTTTCTTCAACAGTTTTTATTGCTAGTTCCTACGGTCTACACTACAACACGACCCCTCTCATTTGCGTAATTTTGCCCTCAAAACCCGTTCAGTAAGCCATACATCGCTTTCCTCCTCCAACGTCTATGCAATACAAGAAATACTCGCACTACAAATAGCAACTTGTCCATAAATAACTTTTTGTTTTATTTTTCAAGAAAAGGAAGGAAAAAACTTTGTTAGGATAAAGACGCAGATCCTCAAATTTGTGTTTATCAAAAAATATGCAGCAGTTTATGCGAAAGTCAGGTGGTTGTCTTAGAAGCGACACCTTTATATCCGGATGTGTGACATATCGCCGGATTATTAGCCAACCGAATATGACTCCTTACATTGCACAACCGGAAAATTATATCCCCTCTTTGATTGAAAGAAAGAATAGGAGCGACGAGAACTAGTCTCGAGGCTTTGCTCTTTTCATTGTGTCAAGCAGTTTAATGTCACCTTTATCGGCATATATTTTCTTACTCTGTTAATTATTGCCGCTATGTGGTTCGCTATATTGAGACATGCATGGGATATAGGTAAAAAAAGTGACCAGTTACGGGGTGCGTGGGCTAGGTATTAGGAACTATCTATTTAAAGTGATTTATTTATGTACGAAAAAGTATTATGAATAATTAGACGAAGAACAAAAAAAAATATTATAACGTGCTAATATCCTTCAGGGGAGTAATAGTAATGGCAGTTATGCATTGTAATACGTAATATAATGTAAATATAAATATAAATAAAAACTACGTTGAAACTGGATTTGTTAAAGGTTAGTTCGAAAGAAATAAAGTGCTAAAAAAATAAATGAAAATGTAAAAATAAAAAATAAAAAATAAACAAGCATCGGGAGATAGCGACAGATTGTACTGCTAGCAAATTTTTTGCCTATTAAAATGGATACGTACAATCTCGTCCCCAAATTACTTCCCAATTATAAGAATACGTATAGCGGAAAACATTCTTTATATAGAGATGAATATCATTGCAATATTTTCCATCCACCCAACCATCCCACCAATATATTGTATCCGTCCAGAAACGCATGTTATAATTTGGGGCCCATATTTCGTAGAAGTATCCTGCTGCCCAAGATGGAGAGGTATAGCTCACTATTGTCCGCTCATTAGGGGGATTGATATTTTCATGCCATTTCGGCTGTCCATTATAGTCAACCCAGTGAAGACGTACGTATTTTACTGGATCAACGTATCCACGAATAATCATCCATACTAGATGTGTGGGATAACCAGTAGTATCGTAGGAGCCTACTTCTGTTGTATTTGCAATATTTGTAGAATTTTTTGTATCATTGGTAGTAACGAGATCCGCCGTGGAAATTTTGACTAGTATGACCAGGATCAATAATATGCATATAGCTCGCAATTTACGCACAAACATTGTGGTTACGTTGATTGCTCGCTTGGATAGAATTTACTTCCAATTTATATCTACGTTGGAAAATGTATAAGCGATTTTTTTCATTATATCGTTGAATATTAACGTTAATGCCAATCATACCTAATATTTTTTTTCTCCGATAAAGTGTGTATACATTTTCTCTTATTCTTATTGTGATATTTATAATTTGAAGAAGAGCAGAGTCCATAAAGTCTTGACTATAATAAATTTTCAACGCATGTGGCTCCCACTCACGTTTCTTTCAAACCGTTGAAAAGGGAAAAGGTGTGGTGTATTGTGACGGGTTACTTTTATTAGAATTCGTATTCTTTATTATGCAACTTTTTGTTCACGTGATTTAGTTTACTTGTAAGGCGGGTTATTGTAACTAATGTCGTTCAAGGCCGATAAAAATTTTATTAGTTAATTCTAATACAAAATTGCCATTGGAAAAATTTTTTTGTTGTATGTCAGATTGAAATCTATGTCAGTTCATTTCCAATTTGTGTGCCGTTCCCTGATTGGCGGATTAAATTCACATTATCGAGCAGAACGATAAATTTGTAATGTCCGTTTGTTCCATCCCCATCACATGCACGGTTTACAAAAGTTGTGTTGCGCAAAATGGTTTTATTGGCTTTCGGAAATATATACATTTTTGTAAAGAATGACACTTGTAGTCTTGGAGTGAAAGCAAACAACGGAAATCTTAATTTTCGCTGATTTATGATTGGCCGATACAATTGGGGGACGGAACAACATGGAACATGGCTACAGATTCCATTCCAAATAGACACATGTCAGATTGAAATAGCAGGACAACGAACTTTATTAAATAACTAGAAGTGTGTAGTGTGCCGCCCGATTTATCGGTTGGCCTTTAAATTTTTATCATTGGATAAATTTAAGTTAGAACGTACTTCACAATTTAAAAATCAGAGTTTAATAAGCGAACTGACGTTTATGACAATAAAAAACGAATAAACGGAGTCGTTAGTTTGTTAATAATGAATCGAGCATACCTTTTTTCAAACCTTCTCCTTGATCTACCTCTTTTCAGCCATGACCATATCTTCGTCAACTGCTACTCTTTTTAACTATGAATAGTAAGATAAGCGCCCAATAAGGTCAGAATTGTCCATAAAGGGTCAAGTAATACTAGAAATAAAATTTAGCGTAGCACATGTAGGGAGATCGATTTTATATTAGTGTTAATTAATGTGATGTTATTCATCTCAATAAAGACAACTGCTACGCCTGTGTCACTCGGAATTTCGTAAAAAAAAAAAACAAAACGTGCAATCAATTCAACTTTATTTATTCGTATAAATCCATGCTTTCTCCTGAAACCTTATAAAGTTGTTTCAAGGAAAGTTAACCAGTATCCAAACTGTTGAACACGCCAGTTTAATTAATTCTATTCAAAAAATTAGCCATGCAACAAAAATGAAGCCATTATGAAATTGAAGAGGCAAAGCCTCTTGATTATTTATAATTCTAGTTATAAAATACTACAATTCTGCTCTATCGTTGCTATGATCAATATATGGGTGGGGTGTCCAACTTATGTCATTTTGTGGACAGCACAAAGTTGGATTAAACCTTTTGAATGCACGTCTTTAGCTATTCTTACTTACGGTGGCTGCGGATATAAAAAATGTGATCAGATTGTGTACATGTGAATCCAAATTAGGCTAAGCGAACAAAGGCTATTGTTTTGTTTACCAAAGACTTCTGTATGATAATAAAACTCTATTTACAACGAACGTTGTAACTATTGCTAAAAGAATTTCTGATTATAATTTTACAATTATTGTTAATTAACACATAACCCCGTTCTTTTTTTAATAAACAATCAGATTACGATGTTGATATTTAAATCCAAGGGGGAAAAAAGTTTCCGTTTGTATAATGTTAGAAACCATTCAAGTAATATCTTCCTTTATCCAAACGTATTGGCAGTTCATAAATCAGATCAGTATATTCATATAAATAAAGCCATCAACGTTTATCAACTGCAATACTATATAAACCAGTCTATTAAATCAATGGAAGGTACTATTAGAAACCTATGTGATATTACGCTACGCTCACATTAAACCAGTCACTGATAACCAGACAGATATCATACTAATACATACAATAAAAAATATTCCCGTCTCAATAGTAATGATAGATCCCATTTTGGTAACATGTATATATCGATATGGGTAAATCATTAAAAAAATTACCACACCATAGTAATAATATTTGCTAACAAGTGTTACACCAATGCACCGTATATCGATATACTTCACTATCCATAACGGTGATGGTAAGGTAAAATGTAACCCAATCAATCTTAGTATCGATCGCTTACCACACAATGATTACAAAATTGTTTGATATAAACTAAATTACACACATAACGTAATATACGAATGCAACGTGCATTGATCCTATAATGAAAACAATACTCGATGACAGTTACATCCGAACAGTCAATCAAATGATGTCGATAAAATTTATAACATTGAAACCAAACGTTTCCAATTTCCTAATTCTTAGCGATAAGTGATGTCATACATACACCAAACATTCTGACAGACCGTTACACAACTACACTTTTATTTCGTGCAACATTTCTTCTGCAATACAGTATATGCACTAACTTTTGTTCTAATATATTTTGCCTCGCTATCCGCAATGACTTTTTCTCCGTGATCGATATGGACCACTCTGCATTAGCTAAAACATACATCAGCAATAAGTGATCGTGTGAAAGAAGGTATCTCCATCAACTCTGGCCCTTGGTGATCCCAACAAAGCGAAACATACGGATTCCAAACTCACTCGACTTTTGCAAGGGACTCTCCCAGTGGCAATGCTCAAACGCTCATGATTTCTTGTGTCTCCCCGGCAGAGTATAATCACATACGCCAATTGGGCACGAAACATCAAGAATAAGGCACCGTAATCAACCAGGAAGAATCCGGATGGAATGATGTTGAGCATCTTCAGGGATTGGTGTTGAAACTAAAAGAACAGATTAGGATGTTGAAGACCAACTTTACGGTTGACAGCGGAAGAAGTACTCCAACATATTTGATTCACCGCATCATTATAGAAGACCGTCGACGCCTTTGAGTTTTGTTACTAACGGTGATAAAACGAAAAAAGATTCGGATATCGATGCGTTAGAAGATGAGCTCGCTAATCTATGGCTTTCATATCAAGAGTTAACGCAGAAACACGCAAAGATGGCCGCAAACGCCAAGCAACGCTGATTATGCCAACAATGCAACTCCTTCTCCGCCGGGATAGCCAACCAGGCCTCACCAAAATATCTCAGTTCTATAAAGGAAGAAGATGAGGCAAAACTTCTTGATCGTCAGACATCAGACTCGTTCCAAGAAGCTGTAGAGCCTGTAATTGAAGAATACGAAAATCAATCTCCGCTCTCGAGTCTCAGCTTTCCCTTGCTCGTGCTGAATTGAATCATTCAGAAAGTAGCGCAAGTGAAAAGGAAACTAGATTACGCGAGGCTGAACAGAAAACGAAAAAACTACTAGCGCAAACAGCGAGACTTATATTCGTGACTTGGAGTTTAAATTGTCAAGAAGCGAAGACGCCAAAAAGAAGCTTGCGCAAAACCATCGAAGTTGAAAAAGATATTGCAACAAAGAGAAACTGATATCCAAAAATTGGAAGGGAAACTCAAGGCTACAGAAACTCAGAATGAGGACATTGTAAAACAAGGGTGCGAACTGGGCTGCCGCAATAAGTGCATTTCTCAGCTAGAAAGCAAAGTAGAAGAACTCGTAAGCGAACTCTTGACAGATTCCGAAACGCAAGGTCTAGACCATTTAGTATATCCAACGCGCCGACTGACAACAACTTTTCAGTCACCACCAAACTCAGAAACCACACCAAGTAACTATAGCGGAATTTACAGATCTCAAAGCCAAGTACGCAGCATGTTTATGATTTGACTAACCAACTTGATGAAGCGAAACCCGTACGGATCGTCGAAATGACCGGTGCTACCGCACCAAACAGTCCCGCTTCTCTGGTAACTCGTCGAAGTGCTCCCCCGTCTTTTGGCGACAATGATTTGCTTTCGCCATCCAGTCGTCTAGCATTACGTAAAGCGAGATTTCTATCTGCTGAAATACAAGGCACCGCCGACAGACGTGATGCGACCGCTGAATCCATAGTTCAGAAACTCCAAATCGAACTCAAGCAACCGGAATCCCTTCATGACGATAAGGCGCAAGGGTTGGAGGCCGTATGACAAGAGTTTGCAAGATCGGAGATGAGCCATCGTGAAGCGATAGAAATTGTCGAAGAACTCTGTGAAGAAATTAAACGTCGTGATGCTTTGGCGCAGAAGCAAGTTATGTCTGTCGTGAATGCCGAGCATCAAAGTGATAGGAGAAATTCCACGGCTGCTAGCGAAGTTGATCAATTGGAAATTGTTCAGAAACTTTGCAAGGAAGTCGAACAGCTCAAGAGAAAGACCATGGAAGTGATGTTAGAAAGGGAGAAGGACCACAAACATGACGTAATGACCAAGCCAGAGAACGAGATAGAATTTCTAAAGTCGGAACTGAAACGTACCATTGAAGAAAGAGACGCGGCATTTGAATGGAAAGAATGACGATGTGCGAGAGCCCGAATTACAATCCAAGATGAATCTTGTACAAAAGCTCATGTTGTCGAACGCGAGGAAAATATTGCCGCTACTGCTCGACATGAAAGTTCTAAAACTCCAGACGACGACAAATCAGCGAATGGTGAAACGACTACGCTTCGTCTGCAGTTGGAGAAAATTGCAGACTGAAGTCGAAGCCAAGAGCCATACTATTGCTGCAGTGTTGATTGCTGCATTTGATAGTCAACACATTATCCGCGGATTAAAATACAGGTTGCAACAAGTTAAAGAAGCTCAGCGCCGCCGATTATTGGATAGCAAGAGCAATAGTTTGAATAATGCATCAGATGAAAACGCTAAAGGCGACTCTATTAAATAATTCGTGCAATTTCCAAATTGGACGATTCAGATTTCGAAGACAACGGCGAATCTATCCATGAGATCAAACCAAATGTATACCAGCAATGTTATCGGTCAGTTCGCAACAACGATACATTTATTCGTTCACATTAGGTAAATATATACAACATTGATCGATAATATACTCTTATGTACATATTTACATACCCTACGCATATTCAATACTTAGTATATTATACTAACACCAAGAAAGAAAAGAAAAGAAAAAACCAACAGAAAACATCCGATTTGATCTCCAATCTTTTTAAGATCACAATAAACATGTCCGTTGCTTTTATGAGACAAGTTTGCGTTGAATATAGTGTGTTGAGATTAAAGTTGGACGGTCGGTTCAATTTCCGATGCTTTATTGACATCGCTTTCATCCTGTTTGAGTTCAGTATAATTCTTACAGACAGTGCAAATACGCCATATCTCAACTTTATCATTCATCCTAGTTTAGACAACGATCACGTATTTGCACTATCCAGCTTTTCAGACATAGTGTAGCTCGCACTGCATCTGGCACAAGATTGTTTCGGATTTTGGTAACTGTATGGGCTGCACCTGTTCGCTTGGAATACGTTCCTTGTGTAGATAACTGATTTCTTGCCATTTTGCTGAGACTCGGAAACTCACGTCCAATTTGCACGCCATCACGTTAGTGGAGTTTTATCTTTCGCAAGGGGGGAGGGCCAAGTATCGTTCTATTTCATCTTCTATCGGTTCTTCAGTTTCAACTGGTTGCTGTAACAGTGAGTGCTTCAAAAAATGAACGCTGGTGTGTTTTCTAGTAGCATAATTTAATAGACATACGCGAGGTTCTTAATGCCATTTGTTCGTTCTTCACGTGTTGCGAACGTTAATAATTTTGAGCGCATCTCGAAGATTCAACGATGGATATCCCAGTGTTCTTTATAGATTGTGCTACATAGCACTCGTCTATTTCGTAATTTTGTAGGCATTGATCCAAATGACGTTGTAGACCAGTGAACACCAGTTGTACACATCGCTGATGGAATGTATGGTGTGTTGGTGAAGTGGTAAGTGTCGATATTACTTTTATGCTTATTGTTTAAATGAGTTGCAAGTGTTCCGGGTTTACATCTCTGCTTACATAAGTTACAGATAATAATAATGGCCACCTCTTCATGGCTTCAAAGAAATGCTCCCCACACTACAGACGTACGCTTCTTATTATTTACTGATAACTGAATGTTACTTTCATTTAATGCGCTGCGCTAGGATGAGTTGAATGACTGTAATGATCAGGAACGGAGCTTAAATCATTATAATTAGACGGTTGGGTGTCATTGTCTCCGGTGGCCAGTTCATGTATTCACATATACTGTCTTGCGTTCCTCTTGACATTAAAGCAGATATACTTGTAGACTGACTCATTTGTTATAAGAATTAAAAGTGAAAAGAAGAGTGTAAATGGTGGGTAGTCATGAGAGAATGGGGTATAGAGGCATGAAAGAATGAGGTATAGAGGCATGCGTTCATGACAGTATAATAGACAGATAAGAAAATTACCTCGGCGCTCCAGAGCGGATCCAGAAGTTCGCTCTGGAATGTAATTGTCACACAAATGTATAAACAAGGAAATTTTCGTAGCACTCCAGATCAGACTCAAGCCATACTCTGGAGTTATTCTACAAGTGGCACTCCAGAGCCACTCTATAAAGTAATGCTCCAGAGTCACTCCACAGAGTGGCTATTATCTCTACCTATAAAAGACAACATTATTGACTAATTACCAGCAGTAAACAATTAAACCTTGCCGTTAATGATATTTCACTTGGACATCCACTTGTCTATCTACTCGGCAAAGTAACATCAAACTACTATCTCTGAAAATGGTTATGCTCTTACCCTCCAGGTAACCAAAACTTAGTAGCACTCAATGCGGTGCATTCGATATAATCTTAACGATACAATTCAAAAATGCTTTTGACAGAGTAAAAAATTACTCCTCGACTCTTATTTTTCAATACGAAAACTGAAACTGAAACTAATGTGATTATTCCATGGAAAACCGGAGATCAAAATAATAATAATGCCAATATCTCGAAGCCGAAATCCATTATACAATCCAGGATCGCTGCCATTAAAGCATCATCAGAAAAAGAAAACTCTTCCAATTCGAAATCTATAATTCCGCATGCTTTCAATCAATTTACATAGTGTTTTTCTTGATTTGTTTGTCACGTTTATCTCTACCAATCCTTTTTATTTTAATGTGGTTGAATTAAATAAAAAAGCTATTATACTTGACAACAATAAATACGCGTGATATCCATTAACGAATATTTAACACAATTTTCAAATTGGAAAGTATCTGTATAAATCTAAACTTAGTCCCATAACGCAAAGAACATATTATACATACAAATTTATTATAATGTATTATTGCCAAACTTTTATTATCGTAAATTTGAATAACGATAAATAATGTAGAACTAACAACAGTACTTTATAAGCATCGATTCTGACATGAAGTACATAACCTTGATCCAAAAAACGTAACACAAAGAACACAAAAAAAAAGCCTAATTTTTTATTTGACATTAAATATAACCTAACTATAGGAAAAATGGTCTCACTTTTGATCAACCAAATTTATACCAATACCTTCCAAACTCGCGACTGCATCACAATCTGTATAAATCAACCAACGCACTATATAAACATTCGTTAACAAATAAATTTATTGAGTACGTAATCTGTTTACATGACAAGAGAAAATTGTAAATACAGAAAAAAAACAACAAAAAAACTCAAACAACCAACTCTTACCAGTCGCTGCCAGTTCTCTTGAAAGAGATGATTGAAAAAGTTGGTTTGATACACTTTTTAAATCTCTTATTATTATTTAGTTTTGAATTTAAATGAACGGAAGATAATATTTTCAAATTTTAATGCCAAAAAAATTGTATGCCACCAACTAATTGTCTTCACACTACAAAAATCCATTTTCCGCCTGCCCGCCAGCGACGGCAGGCTACACCCGACCCTCTAATTATTCGTATCAAAACAAAGTGAGTCTTTGTCATCTCGCAATGCAGTGGTTTTACTACTACTACGTGTTTGTTGCAAACATTAATAATTTCTTAACCAACATGATAAAACTTAGATCCGATGCTTTTAATGTAAATGAGTCGTTATCTCTAATATGGTGTAAACAATAAACACAGTGAAATCCGCTTTAACGAAGGTCTTCGTTTCGCCAAAAACTTTGGACTATTCGTTAAAGCGAACTTCTATTTATATATATATGAATAAATTGGTTCCATAAAATCTTTGTTATAAGACCATCTTCGTCAAACCGGACGTTTGCTAAAGCGGATTTTACTGTGTAATTGTAATTAAACAATTTGCTGTTCGAAACGAGATTATTTACTTAACACATCAATAAGTAACTTCATTAAATAACGATACGATAATGTTATTATCGGTATGTTAACTGAGTATGGATAGTATTCTACTAATAATAATTTATGTCGCAGGAATATTCATTTGAACGTTCGATAAGTTAGAAGGAATAGTGTATTCGAGAAATTCGTGTATTACTGTGATTAATGACATAATATTACAATTTTGATTAACGGTGCGGTGTTAAATCACATGAGAGCCCATCATGAAGCGGATGCTGAGAAAAACTCTAAGGTATAGCCTATCGCCTCATATTGGTATACTGCGCAACGGTTAATTTTACATGTATGATCAAAATAGCTCTTTTGGTTAGACAACAAGATTTAACAGACATAGGTAAAATTGGCTACATCAGAGTGTATATATAATTCTAGTACCCGGGTATGCACGCAAAAACCCGTATCCCCCGGGTGTACCCATTTAACTTACATCCCGGAGGTGACGGGATATATGGTGGTACACAAATAAGCGTACATCCGGGGTGTGTAAGTTCATTGTACACTTCTGGAGAGTGTACGTTAAGGAGACTTTATTAATTATTATAAAGAATCAATGCAAATCATGAAAATTGGAAACACTGGAACAAAGACACTGTTTAAACTGATTGGTCAAAGACTGATTAAACAATCGTAACATTACTAGAGAGGTAGCGTATTCGATAATAATGACAACAAACCGTATAATCTAAAAATTTTATTGCGTAATGTTATGTACTGTATTACTTGAGTCTTACCAGTCTGCAATCACAAGATTAACCCGCGAGGTGGCTCGTGTTCCTACATGAATTATTTATATTGAATACACGTTTTCATTATATGCGCATGATCATCGGATGTAATAAACTAGACAATGCATTCGAATGAGTTCTTAATATAGATCTGAATCTAAGATATAATTTTAAAAAAACATGCCTATAATTGGCTTTATTTTTGATCAGATCAAATAGTACTCGAGCCAAGGTACCCCGGTTGATAAGGGTCAAGCATATGATCTGAAAATATATTAGTGAGAAAAAAAAACAGTTTACTAAAGTTAGGCAACATTAAGTTTGGACATTAATGTTATTAAAAGTTTTTAAAATTATAACATTTTGTATTAATAAATAACATTATATCATCTATGAAACCCTGTCCGATTTATTAGGGAGATTAATTAATAAAAGTATCTTATTAAATTTTAAGTAATATAATAATATTAGAATTTGATATAATGAATTAAACGCTTATTATTATTATTATGCTATGATTAAGTTTATTAAATTGATAATCATTTCTTACTTTAGAAAATCCGATGGTACACAAAGATTACTTAATAAATTACGTAAAAGGGGGATTAAAAAAAGCCGTTAGTCAAGAGACCTATTATCGGAGCGTAGCTACATATTACCGAAGGCCGAGCCAACTAGTTCATATAAAGGAGACGTTACGTGTAGATAGCTGTACTGGCTTATACTGAGTAAAGAATTCAAGTGCTTTGTTTTTAATTTATTATGTATGTAGACTTGATATCACCATCTCCAATATTATATACTTGTTCAAAGCTCATATAAATTGTCAAAATTTTTAACGTAATTTATAATTTGTATGTTTAATGCAGGGTGATTTGTTTACAACCTAATATAGCATGTATTAAAATGTCGTTATCGACTTGTACGAACATTTCTCTACATTCTTGTTATACTGATCGTACAATATTACTAATTAAATAAATAATTGTTACCTTTGTACTTAGCAAAAATAAGTTTACTAAATCACAGAGACGACATTTAATTTGACAACCAAATGAAATTAATTAGCTGTTTTACTATAAGCCGATATATTTCATTCGACATGCAACAAAGACAATCACATAAATACATTCATTGTAATAACAAGAGTTTGCCTTGACAACCTTTGCCTATCCATCAAAGTTATCACAATACGCTTTGTCAGCTCCGGTTGCATTTTTACGCATATCTTACGGAAATTTCTCACGATTTTGGTAATTTCCGTCATTAGGTAATAGTCATTAGGCTGGTAGCCGTAATGTGTCCCCTTTTTTAGCGTTTGTAAATAGAGTTATTATCTATCTCTCAAAATTTTTCCTCCACAATAACAGAAACCGTGCGAGCTGGCAGCAGATAATTCTGGACTATTAGAGCAGGTTTGAGTGAACATTTTCTAAAGAGAAATTTCTAAACAGTTGTTGTACAACACATGCGTTTAGAATAAAAGCTTAAAACAAGTGTTGAAACGACAATTAGGAGTTTATCCCCTGATTGACATATGAGTATTATCCTATTCTACTTGTCTGTAAAATCTTACTTGATGTCTTGAAGATCGAGGGGCCTGTTATGCTCTAGCATCGATTAGTGGCCTGTGATATGCTTACTGTTCAAAATTTTGTAATTATTCCGAAAATATATTTTAAAAACGGCCTTACCCAACTTCCCAGTAATTCAACGATCTCCAAGTTGAATTTCATAGAAACTATGGAAAATTCGACTCTGCAAATTGTTCGACCTCTTAGCGATCTCGAAAAAACATACGTTATCCGCCACAACATGGACTACTTTACAAACATCTGCACGACTGTGCGATATCAATGCAAAAATCTTTTCCCGTCAACACCTATGGAAACGCTAGTTGAATTAAAGGCCAATATAAAGAAGAGATTACTTCCGGCTATCTATCGTGTTCTTGCCGAATTTATTGTCGGTGAACCAGTATTGTCAGTCGGCATAAAGAATCCAAACGGGCCCTATCCATATTTTGTTCATATTCCTACAATCAATCTATATCAACAAGTTCACTTTGTAATAATACTATCAGATGAAGATTTAGAGAGGATATTGGAAATAGAACACGAAAAACCGTTTGATTTATCAATTGAAACAGCTCCGTTGTGGAGAATGACTGTTGCTGTGCATTCTAAGCGAAATTATGAGATATCTGTGTTATTCTGTTGCCATCATTGCTTGATGGATATACCCAGTTTTCTTACGATAAATACGCTGTTTTACAGGGCGTTAAAAAACGTAATGCATGATCTGAGTCTTGAGAACACTGATAGAAGAAGCAATGATAATATACATGACCCTGATACAAACGACAATACAGAATTCAGTTTATTGGGCAACATACCATCGACGGTAAACGTTCCGTATGCTCAGATTTTTGAGCCATGGAATAAAATAATCGATGTCACTCCAACGATGAAACTATTAGTGACGGAAACCTTCAAGGCGCTACATAGCTCCCTTACAAAATCCAGATCAAAGTACTATGCCGGAGACGTTCATGCAACAAATCTTAAAAATTTTCGTATCAAATTAAAAATAATGTCACTCGATCCGGAAGAATTTAAGTCGTTGTCGTTGATTTCGAAACAGCAAAACTCGACAATTCATGCGATAATTCATACGGCCCTTTTAATCTCGGCTCGTCATTTTCTCGTGGATGTGGACAAAGACAAAAAGTTATCTACTCTGACACCAATGTCATTTAGACCGTACGCTAATCCAGCAATAGATGATGCAGCTGTCGGTTTATATGTAACTACGTATAATTTTATGATCTCGGTGACTAGTCTCAAGTCAAGTTTTTGGGATATTACTAAAACTTACGAATGCAAACTTGCAAAGAATATGCAGAGAACAATTCAATGCACTGGATTACGACGATGTACAAATAAATATGCGAATCAGGTAAAAGTAAACTCGATGGGAAGGGAAGCATCGCTTATAGTGTCTAATGCTGATGTGTGGATGCCTTTTGAAAGGGATGAGCCTGCAGACGATGGAGTAAAAATACTAGAAATGTTGATATCGCAATCGACAGCCGTAAGTAAACTCACAGTTACTAGTTTGATTCTCGTGTGTTTTTCTAATATTGTTATTGGATTATCCAGGTCATTGCGCCTGCTGTTACGGTCAATATAGCAACTTACGATAACATTCTCAAATGCACGTTTGTACATCAAGAAGGTGCTATTAGACCTAAAAAAAAGTTGATTGATTTTGTTAATGGGTTCAAAAAGATACTGGCAGTCGTTGCAAAAAAAGGTGACTGGAACGACGAATGGAATTAGAACCTTGTTATTATTTGATTAAATATGTTAATTATATATAGAATATTTAGATTTATTAACATTGCAAAATTGCTATCATTGATTGATAGTTTCTTGTTACATAAAGTTTGATAAAAAGCTACAAAAAAGTTTCCAGTACTTACACCAAAACGTTAAGCTTACCGTTTTATGTATAATTGAAGGAAGGCCCATTTAAACTATGTGTTTCTTTCACTAATATATTTAAACTATATGATGTTTGTTTAAAAAATTATATAAAAATTGCGTTAAAACATTTATGGATTTATCTTAAGTACAATTTATTGGGTAGCATTTTGCGTTGTAACTACAAGTGGTAAACATGCTCTGTTTGACTGATTAATCTTGATGTCAAATGTTTTTTTAAATATAGTCTACCCATTATTTTCAACTGCAGTTCCTGCTTTGTGACTACCCCCACACTTGCTGGTGGATGTATTTATAATTTTGGGCTAATGTGATGGCTCAGAAACAAACAAACAAACCAAGAGTCAAAGACTATTGCAAATTTTCGTAGACTAAAGATAATAGAGAAGCATCTCTCTTCAGCATTTCATTATTCAATTAATTTCTCATGTAGGTAGAGCAATATTGGACAATTGCTACTGTCACAAAAAAATAATAGACTACTTAAAGCTGTCAACATTATGGAAAAATGAAAAAATTTTAAGAAAGGACGAGAATAATATGTAATAAATGTATTTTTTCACAAAAGTAATAATTCAAATTTCTTTAATGAGTCATTACTTCTTGAATTCTATGTTTAAGCAATTATTTTCAACAAGTTTATATTACATTTATGGTCAAAATTTCGATTATTGTCACGCAATCCTTAAACTCCCTAAGGTTTATTTCTCCCCTAATTCTCGATTACTTAAATTTTTGATTAAGAATACATAATGTCGAAGCTGCGGGAAGTAACATCAGGAATACGTTGACAGTTGGATGCCTGATAACAATGACGTATTTTTTCGTTCCTAGTCCAATTTTGCGGCACAAATCAGCGATGTACGCAACAAAGTCTACTGTGCGATTACGGATAACAAGACAATACTGCCAAATTATTAGTAACTACAGAAAATATCCTAGTATAGTCATCAATTACTACCAGCGTTATCTTCAACAAAATTTTTGTTTATTTGAATTTTTAACGGGATAGCAAGCCTTATAATTGCTATTAGAATTAATTTCATTACTCGAATATCTCAAAATGTGGTTCCATGGATCATTTTATGTATACATAAACTGAATACGAGCAAATTAGTATATGTGCAAAATGGTCTCCTTTACTTACTCCCCCAGTGTACGAACGGATTAACGTATAGAGTTTAATCAACTTATCAATT